TACTAAATCCTCTAAAGATGAACATGAGCAGAGTTGAGCAACAAGTCATTAGATTTTCAACGGGAAAGACTACTCCGGTGGGTTACTTACCCGATCCAGCTTCGATTAACAAGTTCCGGGTTTCGACTTGTTCCAAGAATTCTGAACAAGGTTAGTAGTACCTTATTAGTGACCCTTCTTCCTATGTTGAATTTGCTTTATTGTCTTCTTCTTCTTTTTTTCCCTGGAAGAAATGAAAGCTAACAGGATTGGTTTTTCTTTTGACAGGCAACGGAAAATCGTTTCTTAAGAGGAAGAAAACCGATGGTTTCACCAATGGAGCTAGAGACCAGAGCAAGTTAAGACCAAAGCTAACCGAAACAGTGAAGAGAAAGCTATCTCTTGGCGCTAGGATTCTTCAGGTTGGAGGTTTAGAGAAGATCTATAAGCGGCTCTTCAGAGTCAGTGAAAATGAGAAACTGTTCAAAACTTACCAGTGTTATTTGTCGACAACCGCGGGTCCAATCGCCGGCCTTCTTTTCATTTCGTCCAAGAAAATGGCATTCTGCAGCGAGAGATCGATAAAAGTGGCTTCTCCTCAAGGAGACATGATCCGGGTTCACTACAAAGTGTCAATACCTTTGTGCAAGATCAACAGAGTAAACCAAAGCCAGAACACAAAGAAACCGTCGCAGAAGTACCTGGAAGTAGTAACGGTTGATGGTTTCGACTTCTGGTTCATGGGTTTCTTGAGCTACCAGAAAGCTTTCAATTGCCTTGAGAAGGCTCTTTCTCTGAGCTTTGAAGACAGCGAAGAGCAATAAAAGCTCCGGTTTCTGATGAGCTTTTGAGTTTAGAGGAAATAATCTCTATTTCTTCTTTACCTGATTGATCAGAGGTTGGTCCTAGAATGACAGACAATACTGTACAAACTCAATTTATTTATTTTTTTCTTTACCAATTGTAGACAAGATCAGATTAATATATTAAGCGAATCATATATCTTTGCAAAGCTCAATCAAATCAAATGGACACTCTATAAGGCTCTGCACAAGAAACCATTTCCAGACACATCCAATGAAGAACGAGTAGAGAATAACCATCGCTTACTTAAGGCTAACTGAGTATATTCACAAATCTTTATAAGATTCGATGATTCTTAAGCTCAATCTTACCCTGATTAAATAACAAGAACAGTGAGCAGTCTTGGTTATGTTTATATGCAGAGGAAGAATCAAATAGCTTCACTCACCAGCATATTTCATCATACAACATATTAGTTCAATATCTACTACACCGAGACAATAAGAGTATTAAAGTCCTGACCTGAACATCAAATGCTGAATATTTTCATACGAAGGAGAAGCCGATAAATTGAAGTCCTAACCTAAACATCAAATGATGAGCTTTTTGTCAAATTAAAAAGCAAGTACCTTTAAAGTTCTGCAGATTGAAAACTCTCAGATACTTGAATCCCTGACTGCAACAAGCTTGGAAGCCGTGACATCAGGATAAAAAGACATGGAGATTGACTAAGACAGGTCTTTGTCCTTGCCGAGGTCTGCCCAGCCATGAAATCACCCATTTCAGTTTGCCGATGCTTAATGCAAACCCATGCCATGGTTGGATAGAATCTCCATAATGTGTGGAAGGGAAATTAAGGAAGTACTCCCAGTCTGTTATGTTCGGTCAAAGAACAAGCTCTCAAAGACGAAAGTCAACAGCGGAGAGAACAGATCGCTGTTGGCTTCTCCAAGGATTTTCAATTGAATTTATAGGAACTAAGATTGAATCAACCAAAGTCAACACTCAAGAGTCGAAACTCTTGAGACCAATCTGAATTACAGAGTCTTAACTCTTTTGTTTCTACATGGATATCTGATGTATCAACAACTACGCTACAGGGAATTGAAAGCTCATCGCCAACTAGAAGCAAACATGACTTGTAAATTCCATTCCCAGGCGGTAAATTAAGTACTGATGATCTAGGTACTGAGATCCTCCTTTCACTCGGCATATCTTGGATTCTGACTTGCAAGATAAGCTGATGGGCTCTACCAAGGAGCTCTGATACATACCTCATATCTCCCGCCGCAAGAGCTTGCCGTACACGTGTAGAAGAAACTTGCCCTCTGTCTTTTAAGTCACCTGAGTCTCTCTTTCCTGAGTCTTGCTTCTTGTCCATCACAGAGTTTATGATGTAAGCACCGATACCATACTCCTCGCACAACCTCACTAGCTCAGTGGCATCACCCGAAGCTCTATATCCAAATCGGTAATTTTCGCCTGTGGAAACAGGTTTTGCAAACCATTTATTTTTGTGTTTTCAACATGAAATGGTACAATAAAGGAGATCTATCTAAAGTTCACCTGCCACAACTCCGCGCACTCTTAACTCCTTTGACAGCTTCTCCACAAACTGTCGAGGGGTAAGATGTCGCACGCTGGCAAATTCTATCTCATACTCTATTGGTGCTCTGTTTCCACAATATGAGGCCCAAGAGGTAAGCACCCGTTTTCGATCACATTTGGCCACTATTGGAGCCCTGCTTTTACAGATTTAATTGTCAATGGTCACCAAACGACATTTATGCCAAAGGGAAAGGGAAGGCATGAATACTACAGAGGGGATATTACCTAGGCTCCCAACCAAGTATCTCCGCCATTCCAACAAAAGATAATAGATACGGAGTTCCAGTTCTGGAAGCTTGAATAGCAAGCTCTCGATGACCAACATGCAGGGCATCAAACTTCCCTAGAGCAACAATACCTCCTGCAACATGAAAAGTCAAAATGGTGACATAAATAAGAGATCTGCATTGCAAATGCAAAAACCATCAGACAACTTTCGAGCATCACCATATGCTAACATCTATTAGATCTATCATTCTATCGAGTTCCTAGAATTGCACATATGCTAATTCTTGCAGTTGGATTTGAGGAAAAAAGTTTGAATGAAAAAGCAAAGAAGATACCTGAAACTGGGGATAACCCTTCAGCTGGAAGCTCAGGATCATCTTCTCGCTGGCTTTGGAGGAAGAAAACAAACAGATAATGAGAAAAAAAGAAGCCAACTTTTGTACATCAATTACAGATTAGTAACATAAATAGATCTCTCTTATTCATCAATCAGCTCCTCAAAGTTCTCAAACCCAGAAACCTATATCTCGACAATGCACACAATCCCAGTACGATTAGCTAAAAACCTTAATCGGGAGAATTCACATCTAGTCATCCAAAATGCCAAACCTATACTTCAAAATCCGCAGCAAATGATCAAAACAAGAGCTAGATTTCGAGGAGTACAATGTAACCTGAAACAATTGTGAAGAATAGGGGTTCCTCCGGAATTCCTGCAATGAAACCCAGGTGAAGAAATCATGCGGTGATGCAATACATGCTGCAATACAGGTGAGCCTCCGCACAACATATGTTCCGTCGTCTCTCGAGATTACAGATCGGAGACAAAAGCAGAAAGAAAAAAGAACTTCACCGTCGAAACTAAACTACGCCGTTTTAGTTACCGCCGGAGATCGACAATGGTTAGTAAAAAGACGTCGTCGTTTCAAGGTGTGTGTAAAAAAACCCAAAAAAATATTATAATTCAAAATCTAGCCGATTATCATAAATCTAAAGGATGTCATTATACCATATAAGTTAGTTTTAGTTAGTTATCTAATTGTTTTTATTTTTTGGTGAGCGAGCAAATTAATCCTTTTTTTTTTGTTCTGGTCATCGGAGAAAATTATCTATGTTAACAAAAATTTAAGAAATCATAAAGTTGTAAAAGTAGATCATATCATATTTTAATGTTAACTGTTATGATTTCGCATAGACAATATAATGGTCTCGTGAAATATTATTGCTTGAAGAGAAAAGAAAATAATGAACGACAATGAGTGATAGTACAGTTTAATCATTAATAGAGAAAGAAAAAAAATAATTATAAAGAACTTTGTTGATTTAAATCAAAAACTATTTTGGGTTTTCTTTTTTCAAGAAAAAAAAAACTATTTTGGGTTTTTGATTTTCTTGCATATTGTTGAGGATGTGAAAATGTACCAAGTCAGTTATTGATACTTTTTGACGATGAATTTTTATATATACTCAAAAGATGTTA